CAAGCCGCAAAACAGCTGATGGTCGCTGTCTTGCCAGCTCTTACACATTCCCGAGACGGGTGGCTAGGAAAAAAGCCGTCATCAGCGCGGCGATCGCCACCGGAAGTCCCCTTCAAGCAATTCTTGGCTAGAGGCTTGAATGCAGCTCAGGCCAAATGTGCCGCGCCCAAAATGGCGGCCATGCTATTTTCGCACTCAAATTAACGGCCTCCGACTATGATATCTAGAGCCCTGGCAGGAACGCTGCCTTCAGTGATGGCCTTATCAGATTAGAGGCCGAAATGGCCGATCGTCCAAGGGCTTAAGGGGTGAAATTCAGCGCTGCTGTGAACTGCGAATCAGGCAGCCGGTTCAAAGAGAGGCAAACGATTCTGTGAGGGATCGTCTGACGACGAGGGAAAACACTGAAGAATGCCGAAATCACTGTGACAGCTCCAGCAAGAAGCCTCAAGGACGACTCCACAGCTGGTGCAATTTTGAGTCTTCGGAAGCCTCTCCTGAAGGGCAGGAGACTGCAGCCTGCAGGGCAACCCTGAAGGCTGATAGAAATTCCCCTCAGCGCAAGATGAAATTTATAAGTTCAATTTTAGAGGGAAAGTGAGCCAAATTAATTCCAATTATTTTTCAATTAAGGTAATGAAGGAAGAAAATCCACGAGTGGAAAGAATACAACCTGCAGTTAAATCCGGAAAGGAGCACAATTTACACGTCTGCTTAGCAAAAGACTAAATCGTAAACTGGGGTGCTCTAGCCCAGCAGGCGGCATGGCAACTTTCCAGACTTAGTCTAATTTGAGCAGGAGGATTAAGACAACCCATTCGTGGATTCTCTATCCATCATGCTGGAGAATGAGCAGTTTGCTGTTGGCTTCTTTGGCAGTTTCCACTTTATTGTTTACTTGATTATTGGTCTGATTAATGGTTAACATCAGACCAACAATCAAGTAAACAATACCCCAATGAAAAAACTTCCAAAGAAGCCAACAACAAACAGTCCAATCAAACAATGTCTAAGACCAGTCCCACCAACACTGACAGGCAAGCCACTAGAATATAAACTGACAGCAAACAGTACTCCATACTAGCACTCATGATGTTATCTATTGTAATTTGGGTAATAAAATGTCTGAAAGAAAACAAGCAAGCTCAGAGAGCACCAAGGATCCTTCATGTCAACCCTGAGCTACAAATATTCTCCTTTATTAGACAGCATCTTACCTCCAACAGTCTCAGTCCTCATTTTACAGACCTCGGAAGGATGGAAGGATGAGTCAACCTAGAGCCAGTCAGGATCAAACGCCTGGCAGTGGAATGTAAAGTTATCCTGTGATATTGTATTTTAACCATTGCACCACCACAGCATAAGTTTGTTTAATTAATTTGAAGTTATATTATAACTATACTGGTATTCTTTTTAGGGAACACATTTTTCAGATTGTAACTTTAGTTATAAAGTTGCATCCCACTCTTATGCACTGATTACCAGTACTAAGTAATATCATACTGCCCCACATTAGAAGATAACATCTTGTTCGGCTATGATCAAGGATACAGAACAAGGTCCTCCCTATTCACCAGGACAATGCACAGCTCATCACAAGATTGAAATCCCATAGGACAGCTTGGAAAACAGCTGTTCACTTAACATTTACCCAGTTTAACCCTGAGATGCCTGGAAAGAGAAATGGTCCAAGATATCTTCTTGGAGCTTGACCATTAGTGATCCCTCTACCAAACCACCTGGTTTTGACCTGCTTTTCTCTGTTTGATCAAAATTGAACAGAATTACGTGTGATATAGGTGCCCTGTATCAGTGGGAATGGAGAGTCCTCTTGTTGCAATTGTGCTGATATGCAAATGATTAAACATATTGAGCAAGATTGCCTACAACATGCATTCTCTGATTCCCTAGAACAGGGGTAGGCAACCTCGGCTCTTTTATGTCTCTTGGACTTCAACTCCTAGAATTCCTGAGTCGGCTATGCTGACTCAGGAATTCTGGGAGTTGAAATCCATGAGTCATAAAAGAGCTGAGGTTGCCTACCCCTGCCCTAGAAGATCTGCATGAAACAACACCAGAGGCGATCACTGGACAACTAAATTGGACATCCAGTTATGAGGCCACTGCCATATCCCTAGAGGTTTTGCTTATAATTACATGGAGTGTATAGATGTTTACTTCTCTTCTGTCATGTTCTCACCATGCACTAAATAATAAACGTGCATGTGAAATGAAAAAAAATAGATTTTGTTCTTAGTTGGAAATGGTATGCCCAAAATATAGAATTAATTTGTTATGTATAAAAGTGCTTTTAAAGGATATCTTGATCATTAAATTGTGCTGCATTTTGTAATGCTTATAATTTTTAATCACATAATTTTGAGCAAACTTATTAGAAATGGAACTGATATTTTATGTAGTTATAGGATTGATCCCTGAATAATTTATCGCTGTCAATTGTGCAGTTAGTCTATGAGTTTTGGCTAAGATCAAGTATAGTATCTGTTCTAACTAATTTAATTAATCTGAAGAACTTTATCACTATTCAAAAACTGGAAATTTTATACTGTTTTATATGCTTGATTTCCTCTTTTATTCTTGTTGTAAGTAAAATTATTTAATGCTATAGAGCTAGCTCTCATTTAACAACCAATTGTTTAGTGACCATTCAATGTTTTTATTTATTAAACTTCCATGCAGCCCATCTCACGAAGGCAATTCTAGGCAGCTTACAGGCATTCAATTTCACAATAGAGCTCCTCAGAGCTCCTTATGACCAGTTCCAGAGTTTGGACAGCCATCCACTTGTAGTCACATTTTGAGCACTTCGCAACCCGCTCGCATATATGGCCATTTGCAGCATCCTATGGTCACATGACTTATTTTCAGTGGGGTTTTTGCTGATTTATAGCATTTACTCTCAGCAAAAAACACTCATTGAAGAAAATAGGTTCTCTTAATGACCATGGCATTCGCTTAATTGCTGCTGCAAAAAAGATAAATCAGGTACGGTAGCTTGATGACCTGTTTAATGACTTCCATGACTTAGGACCATAATTCCGGGGTCAATTACTGTCATAATTCTTACCACTGAAAATTTGGTTAGGGAAAAATATCTTTCATGTAATAAATGTGTCTTCTCAATTTGTTCTTACTTCCAACAGAAATAAAAAGAATATTAACAATTCTATTATACATAGTTGAATAAATATAAATAATGATGTAATTCCACATTGCTTAATAATATCCCAATATTGTGAAAAGCAATTTGAATTAATTACTTAAAATAGTACTTAATTACTTAAAATATTACTTAGTATAGTAGGACTATACTATTAATATTATGTGGTTAGCTAAATAGAGATATATTTACTTAGAAAGATTATACTTCTGCTTTACTTTTTACAAACTGGGAATATGATTAACTTTTGAGAAACTTCCTTTTAAGAAACAGCTAAGACACAGTATAAACTAGCTTAAACAGATAAACTAATCTATTTAAGCTGGTTTAACACAGGGGCTATTGCCTCCCTTCCCCCCCCCAATTACTATACAGAAACTGCTTTCCCACATTTTTGTGTTTTCCTCAAAGTAAGACCTACACCAACAATAAGCCCTAGCTTGATTTTGGGGGTGGGCTTAATATAAGCCCTATCCCAAAAATAAGCCCTAGTTTTGGGGCGAGGCACAAGCTAGGGCAGGGGTGGGGTGTTGAGCTGCCCACTGCCTGCACCCACTTACCTTGCAGCCAGGCCTCTCCTTGCCGGCCCACTTCTTCTTCTGAGGCCTCTTCTGCAGCCAGGCCTGCATTTCTCAGTCACAGGGCTTTCCGGAATGCCTGAGCAGCCAAGAACCGAGCTATGGATTCAATCCAGAGCTCGGTTCTGCAAGACCTCAACAGCCGAGCACCAAGCTATGGTTTGAATCCATTGCTTGGTACGTGACTGTTTAGGCCTTCTGGAAAGGCCTAATTGCAAAATGCAGGCCTGAATGCAGCTGCAGAACTTCAGCCCCAGAAGAAGTACACCTGCTGGGTGGGGCTTTCAGTGCCAAAGGTGAGGTAAGGCCTACCCCAAAAATAAGACCTGGTGCCTCTTTTGGAGGCCAAAAAAAAAAAAATTAAGACTTGGTCTTATTTTCAGGAAACATGTTATTAAAAAAATATGAATGATAAATGTGATAAATATCTTTTGATATGAACATATGGAAGTATGATTAATATAATTAAAAACTTCCCAATGTAACATATAAATATGAAACAATTTAAAGACGTTTATTCCTTTCCCCAATTCCTTAGGTATTTCTCACCAAATAAATCATATTTATGACTATTTTACACTGACTTTAATCTCCAAAGAATCATTTATACAGCTTCAAATCATAAAAGTACGCATTTTTATATACCAACCCAATGGTCTCCATCTGTCCTACTGATCTTAAAATGTGTCAGGTTATCAAGCACTAAAATATTCATCATATTTGCCAGTCAAAATCTCAAAATCTTATTTATGTATTAAATAACTTTTATCAAAATAGCCTTTACTTTATCATGCACGCTGAAATCTGAAATGTATTCTGCTCTGTTCACAGATAAATATTAAAATATATCTAAATGTATTTAAGATACATTAAAAAACAATATATATACAATATGTGTAAAAGGCTTGCACACTTTATTGATGGCACACATATATTTTCCTTAGGTATAATATGCAAGCCACAGATAGAAAATTTCCAACAAAATATAAAATATAGTCATTGAGCCAGTTCTTTAAAACTATATACCATTTAACCTAATGCCAGCAAATTTTGTTACAAAAATAGACTGAGTACATTAATGTTGCCACATATTGAGTTATTTGTAATGAAATGATACATATCTATGGCACACACACACATGTGTATATGTGTGTGTATGTGTGTATATATATAGTTTAAATAATTTCAATCCCAAACACAACAAAAGAGTTCTAAAAAAATTCAAGGACACACATAATTACTTTCAGTGCTCTGGCTGAACAGAATACTCTGAAGAGGTGTTACGTGAAATCTTCAACAATTCCGAAGTTTCCTCAACCCTTAAGACATAAAATACGTAAACAAAGTTAAATGACTCTTCCAAAATATAAAAACAGTAGCAATTTTGTATCTATATTAAAAATTGGTAAATTTATGTAACTTCATAGAGATATGATTGAACAGACATATTCCATTATGTTAAATTAGTTTTTAATTTTAAAAATCAATAATAGTTTAAATATTTCACAGCAGAAAATTAAAAATTATGAGCTTTAAAAAAATACTTTCCAACAAAACATCACTGCTTTTTCAAACCAGATTACTACTTAATCCAGTAAAGCACTTCTAATAGAAAAAAAAAGTTCAGCAAATAAATACTTTAAACTTTATTATTAAAGCATCTCATATTGTCTTCCAAAAACAAAAATTATTTTGGAAAACAATATGTGATGCTTTAATAATAAAGAACTTTAGTTTGATCCATTGTCCATTGATCAATTGTACAATTTTAAGAAAATACTACCTCATAGGAGTATGGAAAACACATGTACAGTACACTCATAATTTAATGAGGAAGAGGAATTTCAGTTAAAGTACAATGTCCACTAACTCTGAGTGGTGTGTTCAAGTGAAATTGAAATGAGATTTTCTTTGTGCATTTTTATGCATTTATACATATCTAAAATAGCAAATAGAAGTTTATGGCTGCATGTAATGAAAGATTCTGTTCACTTCATCTGATATCCATTACATTGTTTTCTGTATTCTGTATCTACATTTGAAATCTTGTTTGCTAAAAAATAAAACTGAATCCTCTTACTTACATTTTGTTTATTCTTTCCATTTTTTGGATTGTTGTTTCCTACAATTTAAAAGCAATTTAAAAGCAAGAATTTTAACTTTATACACTTACATTATCAACAACAAATAAAATCACAAACTTTCTGCAGCTGTGCCAAAATATATATGTGCCAGTTTTAACTTACTTTTGAAACCTCTGACACATCATCACTAACAGCCAGGGCTTTGGGAGATGGATCTGCAGATAACAATGAACTATATCCAGATGACTGATGAGGACTGTCTGGCAATTCTACTTTCTCTTTATCTGGGAATAAATTCACATTTTAAAGATCAGCTTTGCCTTTACACACTTTAATTGGGCTAATTATCATATAGTCTGATTTACAGAATATATTCATAAAAGAAACTGGTAAGGACTTATAAAGCAATGTTCTCAGATGAATTCAGATGTGAATATAATGTAAATTACTACCGTATTGTAATCAATGCAACCTGATAAATTACTTGTACAATCTTTCCCAACATAAACCTTTTCTACAGAGTTCAAAGAAATATAATGTGAATCTGTAATTTCTCTGCTTCTGTTAGAACAGTGGTTCTCAACCTTTTTAATGCCACGACCCCCAACTGGTCGTAAGTCAAGGACTACCAAACCGGTCGTAAGTCAAGGACTTTCCCTGCCTGGGAGCGCCGCGCATGCGTGGTGCCGCCCCTGCGCCGGCCGAGGCTTAGCTGGCAAGCAGCAGAGACAGCGCAGGCCGACCACCGGCTGGGGCCACCAGCCTCCCACTTCCCACTCCTGGCCCTCTTTTACTTACATTTTTAGTAGTTGCTCAGCAGGGAGGGGTGGAAACTTCCAGACAGCTCGCCTTCCCTGCAGATAACTTGCAGCACCGTTTGTAGAATGGGACTTTTGGCGGGCTCAGCAGGGCAGAGACAGCCTGGGCAATTCCTATTGGCTTTTGAAAGCCAATAGAATTAGACTCTATTCAAGAGAGTCTATTCTATTGGCTTTCAAAAGCCAATAGAATAAAAGGGAGTAACACAGCTAAGAAAACGGGGGAAAAAATGGCGGACTGCGTTGTTTGGCGACCCCCGTGAAATGGTCATTCAACCCCAAATGGGGTCCCGACCCACAGGTTGAGAACCACTATGTTAGAAAGTGTTTGATGTAGCTATAGATTATTTTTATAAAACAACAAAACCCTCTATGGAAATGCCAATCTTTTCATATTGAGAAAATAATAGTTAATTGTGTGTAAAGAGAGAAAACATATGAAACTTGCTGATTGATCTCAGAGCTTAGAAACAGCATCTGTATTTTATTATACTTTAAAACTTTTCCAACTGCCACACATTAACATTAATTTATAGGTTAGTACTTCTACAGAAGTACTGTAGCTTACTATCAAAATATAATGCTTTAGAGAATAGGAAAAATCGATATTTTAATAAAAATACTAATCAATAGAGTTGAAACTACAGAGACAGATTAAATTTGTTCCCGATTCAGACTCTTTCTCTGAGAGTACAACAGAACATATTTGTCAGCAATTTTTTATTTTTCTTCTCGGAAAATCTTATTAAAAACATTGAAATAACTAAAATCTAAATACCAAGTCAATTTGCTAAATAACAATAAGGCAGTATTTAAAAAGTGACTACTCTATATGTTACAGTAATTAAAATTCAGTTTGACTAAATTTCCATGCAATGTAGCATATTTAAATGAATAGCTTTACAAAAAAAAAAATAAAAAACACAGATTGAGGAAAGTTGCAACAAGTACTTACCACAAGAAGATGGAATCGTGTTTCTGCTAGAAGAATCTTCTTCACTCACATTATTTAATTCTGTATATAAATCAGCCTGAAATTATAAAATATTTTACCATTATGGTAATAACTCTGTAGTGGTAAAACAATAGTTATTTTGAATTTTTCAGTCCTACTTCTGCAATAATTATATTATAATCATTTTTATAACACATTAGTAACATACTAAATAGCCTTAATTTTCAAAAATTATCATTAATTCATGAATCACAGTCTTAGGTATATAAATCCAATCTTCCTATTTTACTGGAGTTACAGTATCAGAATCCATGAATAGGCACTATGTGATTAACATAATCTTCAAACCCTGAATTGAAACATTATGTAACCTGAAATAAAGTGATATTTTTGTAGATCATGTTTCAAATCGGAGTACATCAAATATAGTAACAACTGCATAGCTTATGTCTCATTATCAGAAATTCAGTACTATACCATTGACTTGATCATGTAACTTTCATGGACTAGATCTATTACTTTTTTTCTATTTAAAACAGTTACTGGGATTTTTTGATCTGAATACAAAATTCTTGCATTAAAGAAAAATAAAAAGAGTACAGAGAAGAGCAACAAAGATGATTAGAGGACTGGAGGCTAAAACATATAAGAAATGGTTGCTGGAATTGGGTATGTCTAGTTTAACGAAGAGAAGGACGAGGGGTGACATGATAGCAGTGTTCCAATTTCTCAGGGGCTGTCACAAAGAAGAGAGAGTCAAGCTATTCTCCAAGGCGCCTGAAGGCAGCACAAGAAGCAACGGATGGAAACTGATCAAGGAGAGAAGCAACCTAGAATTAAGGAAAAACTTCCTGACAGTTAGAACAATTAACCAGTGGAACAACCTGCCTCCAGAAGTGGTAAATGCTCCAACACTGGAAGTTTTTAAGAAGACACTGGACAGCCATTTGTCCGAAATGGTGTAGGGTTTCCTGCCTGAGCAGGGGGTTGGACTCGATAACATCCAAGGTCCCTTCTAACTTTATTATTATTATGGATCATCGCATAGTCAGCCAGATGTTCACACTGGATTTGGCATTTTGTCTACCTATTGAGTCCTTACCCAGGACCTTGGCTAGGCAGATGTGGATGTTTGATGGTATTACAGATATCGTCGCAGGATGGAAGCAGTTCCTAGTAAGGCCGCCTTTTGCAATTGACTAATAGCGAATTTGTCAATGCCAGTGGTGTTCAAGTGGTGCTCAATTTGTTTTGGGATTGCACCCAAGGAGCCTATTACTATTGGTACTACCCTTGCTTGCTTTTGCCACAGTCTTTCTATTTCCATTTGTAGGTCTTTGTATTTTGTGATCTTCTCCAGTTCTTTCTCGTCTATTCTGCTGTCTCCAGGCACTGCCACGTCCACTATCCAGACATTTTTGTCTTTCTTATCGATAATTGTTAGTCTGGGGTGTTATGTTGCAGGTGCTTGTCTGTTTGAATTCTGAAGTCCCAGAGCAGTTTAATTTTATCATTTTCTATGACTTTCTCTATTTTATGATCCCACCAGTTTTTGCTTACAGGCAAATGATATTTTTTGCAGATCTCCCAATGCACCATTGTTGCTACTTTGTCATGCCGCTGCTTGTAGTCAGTCTGTGCGATCTTCTTGCAACAGCTTACCAGGTGGTCCACTGTTTCTTCAGCTTCTTTGCATAGGCGGCACTTACTGTCTGTTGCTGTCTTCTCAATTTTGACTTTGTATGCATTTGTCCTTAAGGCTTGGTCTTGTGCAGCCAGAATTAGTCCCTCGGTCTCTTTCTTCAATTTTCCTGCTCTTAGCCATTGCCAGGTTTTATTATTATCTGCTTTCCCAGCTATTTTTTTCATGTATTGGCCATGTAGTGCTTTGTCTTCCCATGCCTCTATTCTGTTCTTCATTTGGTCTTTCTTGTAGGCCAGTTTGGTCTCTCCAGTAGTTAGTAAGCCTTCCTGATATACTAATTTCAGTGCATCTTCATCATTGTTCTTCAGATATTCTTCCAAAGCCATTTTTTCTTCTTCAACCATCTGATGTACTTGTAGCATTCCACGCCCACCTATTTGCCTTGGTAGATAAAGTCTGTCAATGTCACTGCGTGGATGAAGGGCATGATTCATTGTCATTATTTTTCTGGTCTTCCTATCCATTGCTTTTAGTTCTGCTTGAGTCCAGTCCACTATTCCAGCTGTGTACCTAATGACTGGAATTGCCCAGGTGTTGATTGCCTTTATGGTATTTCCTCCATTGAGTTTGGACTTTAAGATCTTCTTCACTCTCTTGATGTATTCACCTCTAATCTTTTTCTTGACTTCAGTGTGCTTGATGTTGTCAGCTTGAAGGATACCCAAGTATTTGTAGTACTCTTCCTCATCCAGACTCTTAATGTTATTTTCGTGGGGCATCTTGATTCCTTCAATTTTCACTATTTTTCCTTGTTTGATAGTAAGTGTGGCACATTTGTCCAAGCCAAACTCCATTACAATATCTTGGCTATATATACGGACAGTGTTGAGCAGCGATTCTATTTCAGATGATGTTTTTCCATACAGCTTCAGATCATCCATGTAAAGGAGATGGGATAGTCTGGCAGATGTTTTTGATGTTTGATAGCCATGTCCTGAGTTATTCAGTATTGTTGACAGAGGAAACAGTGCAATAACAAATAGTAATGGTGACAATGAATCTCCTTGAAATATTCCTCTCTTGATATTAACCTCTCCCAGTCTCTCACCATTGATCTGCAACTGTGTCTTCCATTGTGCCATCGATCTTTGCACAAATTTTCTGATGTTTCTACTGACTCCTGTTATTTCTAGGCATTTGATTATCCAGTCATGTGGCAGAGAGTCAAATGCCTTTTTGTAGTCAATCCATGCCACATTCAGGTTGGTCTTCCTTCTCTTGCAGTTTTCCAAGATCATTTTGTCTATTAGGAGTTGATCTTTTGTTCCTCTGCTATTGGGGCGGTTTCCTTTCTGCTCAGGTGGAAAGAGATTGTTTTCAACTAGATGCTGTTGTACTGCATCAGCTACCACACCAGTTAGTAATTTGAAAGTTGTTGGTAAGCAGGTAATTGGCCTGTAGTTGCCTGGTGTTGCCCCTTTTGCTGGATTTTTCATTATTAGATAGGTTTTCCCAGTTGTTAGCCACTTTTCAATTTCTCCTCCTCCTCCTACTAGTTCTTTCATTTCAACTACTGTTTTATTTGCATCCACCTCTTTTAACCAAGCCGCATCCTTGTTGTATTTCTTTGGGTTATCCCATATCTGCTTCCAGAACTGCACTGTTTCTTCCTTGTCAGGTACTGACTGATTCCTTGCAGTTTCTCCATTGATGGATTGGTAGAAACGTTTCTGATTGGATTGAAATTGGAGGTTCTGCCTATAGTTTGCAATTCGAGCTTCATATCTACTGATTTTCCTGGCTATAGCTGTTATTTGTTGCTTTATTATTTCCAGTGCTTTCTTGATCTTCCTTGTTTCTAAGTAGTATTTCTTGATTAGGTATTCTTTAGTCTTCTTGTTCTTCAGCTTCTTTTCTTTCATCCGTTCTAGCTTGCTTGCATGTGATCTTAACTTGCTGATCTTATTTTCTAATCTAACCTTCCATTTTTGTGATACACTGTTTGTTTGTTTTTCTTCTTTGTTGATTTTGCACCCCAGGTATTCAGTTATAACTGCAGCTGTGCTGTACATTAGTTGGTTTGTTTCTTGCAGTGAATTGGTGCTTATACTTGATATTGCAGTATTTGCATCTTGTAATGCTTGTGCTAGCTGTTTCTTTGGAACAAGCTTCAATGCAGGTAGCCTTATTCTGTTGTTTTTGTGCTGTTCTAGATGCTCAGTTATTCTTTGTTTCAATTCTTTTATTTCTTTATTTAGAGGGGTTTGTTCTTTCTTAGGAAGAGGTGCCTGGTTTCCAAATGAGAACAGTTGTATATCTCTGCTGGATTCCTTCGCTGCCAATTCCCCCTGGTTTGCCTCTACATTCTGAATTACTTCTGGTAAGGCTTTGGTTTCTTTGCCCTGGGTAAACCTTTGCAGTTCGTCCAATTCTGTTTCTGTGAACAGTTAATTTCGTATTATTATTATTATTATTATTATTATTATTATTATTATTATTATTATTATTATTATTATTATAATAATAATATCCCCAAATGTACTTTCATACACTAAGAGAGCCAGGGGAGTATAATGGTTAAGATGGTAGACTAAGAGCAGTGAGACACAGCTTCTATTTCTCCCTCAGAATCCAGCTGAGATTCATTCTCTTCTAACAGTATCAGACTCTGTGACCAGCTAACTGATAAACAAACTATCTCTTGCAAAACCAATCAGACCCTGAAACCATGCAGGGCAAACACTAAGAAAAGCAATACTGATCCTGCCTGTGTTGAACATGAAAATAATGCCTCTTGTTATACATTCTCTGGTTTAAATTTACAATTTTAAAATAATGTTTTGAGAAGCAGAAACCTGTATGTCATTTTAGTATAGCATTAGAAATGTATTAAAAATAAATTACTTAAAATAAAGAAATTTCAAGTAATACAGGAAACTGTATTAACAATTAACAATTATGTTCATTAATATGAAGTAATAATAAATGTACAAATAAGAGCAGCAGTTGGAATAGAATTACAATTTTCAGTATTTTCTATAGGCTTTCCATTATAATTGAAAAATATTTTAGAAGGTTGTCTTTGTAAAAGAAACATTCTTTAGTTTTGATAACCTCATGACAGTATAAAATAGGGAGAGTCTGCGCTATCTGAATTAATAGCTAAGCCAGATAACCTCTAAAAAGAAAATGTAATATTAAATATTAGACTATTGTATTTCCAATTTTTAACAAAGAGGAAAGTACATAATAAAACATACTGTTTTGGAATGAAGCAACAGTTGTGTTTCAAGAAGGAGGACACGGCTCAAAAGATTATTCCACTCATTCTCTTCTATAACAATTTTCCCTTGTAGTTTCTTCTCTAAAGTCTCTAACCTTTGGTCCACATTACTCAATAAATGAAACTTTTGCTGCAGTTCAGCAAGTTGACTTTTTAAGTCTTCTAATTCATTATCCTTCTTTACAACCTGAAAATAAGACAATTTTCATTCACTGTAGTTATAGCACTGTAGTTAGATTCTTACATGAAACATATAAAGACCTCCACATGAAATCAGAAAGCATATTTTAGATCTGCTCTGTAGAAGCAAGCAGGATAGTTATCAAAACATTCATTTCCTGACATTCATTACCTGAAAGACATAAATGAAGCAAAAGTATTATCTTTTCATTAATCTCATCGCTGAGTTACATTTGAGTGCAGTTGGACTTCCACAGCACAAAAGTGGACCGAGGGTGGAAAGGGGACTGATTTTGTCATATTGTGGGAGAATATTTAAAAATAAAAATATATATGCTTTTAGTATTATCATGTAATCAAATTTTATATTTTATAATTATCATTTTATAATCAATTGCCTGAGTAGATGCTTTGAGTATATAGGGAAAATATAAGCCTCAGGTGGAGGAAGGGGGGAGAACAGGAGTTACCATGGGGCCCAGTGTGAGTCATCATCTAGAAATTGTTTTTAAGTACCTTTTGCTGCCTGGTACCGCGACTGGATCTAACAGGTGTAGAAGATGGGAGACATCTCTTCTCTAGAATTGATATAGGATAGTAGGGAAGGGATCTTATTAGTATAATGTATTCTGTTTAGGCGCTTCTGATAGATTGTAACCTCTAAAGCCTAAACCAATGGAGCCATGGGGGAGGGAATGGGGCATCGCGATAGGATGTATAATAATATGTGATTTTGGAATCTGGGGTGTGGTTCAGTGCTTGGCTATATTGCATTGCCTTCCTGAATCCACCACGCTTTGCAAACCGTTATTGTTTTTAGACTTGGATGTGAAGTCTAATAAACTTCCTTTCTATTTGTAACTCAGAGTGAATTTCAATTTGTGACTATTTTTGTGTCTAACAATTTTGGTGCCGAAACCCGGGACTCAATGGGATTTCGTTTGGGACTCCCTAACTTGGAGGACAATGTGGAAGGCATGCCCTGTCGAGTTCAACAGTCCAGCTTCGAACTCCAGGAATGGTAGGTACTGAGTGAACCTTAGAGCCCTACGAACCTAAATAGAAGTTGCAAATAGAAACGAAGGGTGAGGGAACCTGCCGGACTCAGGAAAAACTGGGTAACTTCATGCACGGACCTAGGTGAGTAATATCTGGGGTGGCCGGTGGACTGGGTAGGACTGTTTGAATCTGAGATCTGTGAGAGGAGTGCATAAGACGTCCCAAGTACCACAGGAGGTAGCAAGACGGTGTGGGAGCTGATCCTTTTTGCCATACCCTCATGAGAGGATTGGTGGAGAAAAAGGGAGAAGCAGGAGCTTGGTGAAGCGAAAGTTGGTCTCATTAGGTTGGTAAGGATAAGATAATAGTACGGTAAACCAGTATGGGCAATTCTCGGAGTGTTCCCAGAAGGAAATGTGTGAAGAAAACTAGGAAGAATCCTAGGTTGAGCATAGATACAGGGAGTCCTTTAGGACTCCTACTAAGTAATTGGGGTAAGTCACCTTATAATAAGATAATTGATAGATTAAATTTGACTAAAGAAGATGTGGTGAATTTGTGTTGCTTTGTTTGGTGGGAGGAATTAGAACCTGGCCCCAACAACAGCCAAAGGCTCAGAAAGTGTATGTTCAGAGAAGTACAGAGAAACTAAGGCAGAAAGTAAGAGGATGGTAGCAACAATACAGCAAGTGATGAAGCAGGAAAAACCTCCTAGAAGAGAGTTTGGGGATAAGCAGAGTCCCTTTGAGACAAGATATAGGAGGGATGAAAGGAATCAGTATGTTAATGGGAGTAGAGGAAGGGGATTTGGAGGATTTCGGGGTGGATACCAGAATAAGGAGAGAACGTGCTTTGGATGTGGAATGAAGGGCCACTTTTAAAAAAAGATTGCCCTAAACACGCGAGAGAACAGCAAGTTTACTCAGTGTGGGAAGAAGAGGATAGTTTTTACTAAGGGAGGGAAAGGAGCTCATTGGCTTTTGAACAGCTCCTTGAAATTATAATAGTTATTGATTTGTCAAGAGAAAGTATGAAATGAAATATCTCTATGTGAAAGTGTTTATACAAGCAGTTTGAATGGAAGTAAATGTGTGGATATGCTGATCCTGTCTCTGTGGTGTGTGTGTGTGAGTGAGTTTCTCCCCCATCTAAACTGCAGATTTTATTGTTTTAGCAAGTGTTTGCATGAGAAGAGTTCCATGGAGAATGTGTGAGAGAATTTATGGCAAATTCATGTGAAGGAGAGAAAGCTATTCTCTCCCTTTCGTTTTCAGCTGGCTGTGTTGCTTTAAGAGCGAGAAACAGAAAGAAAAAGGGGGGGGCTGCTCGTTTTAACTTTTTTTTCTCCGCTTGGAATTCTGCTTTGGGAGGAAGGTGGGGTGGATGTGAAATTTAATACCTATTCTTATAGTAATGAAATATGAGAAGAACTTGAATACACCTATACTGTTGTTTTATTTTTATGTTTTTATGTCTGTGTGCAGGACACACTGATAAAAACATAATATCTAAGAGAATTGAAGGAATTGTAATTCAACCCTTGTTTAAAACGAAGGAGTTGAGAAAAATTTTGGGATTATAAATGAGCTATGTTGTTTTGAATAAAGATTTGTATGCAAACAAACTCAATCAGAGTTGGTGAGCGCTCCTTTGTTGGCTCTTTACTAAGCAATGTGTTTGTAAATACGGACAAAAGGAATGGCTAGGGGAGGAATAATTGATACTTTTCTATGGTTAATATGTGGTTGATTATATGATATGTAGACAAATATATAAAATGCTCTATAACATCTAATGGCGAGGCTATTTCAATGCATTCAGGTTGATTTTAAATTATCTCAAGTGGGAAATTCCACAATATGAAAATTAATGACATGTTTATAAAGAATTAGATACTGGGGCTGTTTTCTGCTTTGCCTTATATCAGGAAACAAGGCTTGCTGATCCAAATACCCCCTTTGAAATTTCCTGTCCACAAGTTTGAGGTGGGACAGTGGATCCTGATCCAAACGTGGAAGGAGGGAAAACTGCAACCTAAGTGGGAAGGACCATTCCAGTGTTGCTGACCTCTGAAACTGCAGTCCGGACGAAAGAAAAAGGGTAGACCCACTACACACGAGTGAAGGGACCAGTAGCTGAACCAAAAGAACAGTGGACCTGTGTTCCAAATCCAGAACCTTTAGAGATCACTCTCAAGCGACAGTAATTGAATGTCCAAACCAGATCTATGACTGGGTGGAATTAGGGTTTGCTGTTTTCCTTTGTCTTGTGCCCAAAATCCCATGTCATGCTGATTGTTGTTGCTGTTTCCATTGTATTGACTGTTTAAGATGTACCAGATGTGAAGAATATTCTGGAAATTGAAACCTTCTGAGGAATATACTATATACTTTAAAAGATAACTACTCCAGGACGAACAACGAGAGTGACTAAAATGAAAATCCTTAGTGTTGTATATTTGTCCATGGTTATCTATCTCTCTCTTTCTAGAGAACGATATAGGAGAGCAACAAAAACAGAAGGATGTGAAGCCTGCATTACGAATGCCACCAAAGGAAACGCAGTAATTAAAACCTTGGTATATCATACCCAAGCACCTAAGGGATGTATATTTCAATCTATGTGTCAATTAAATAACCCACAATATTCAGTTTGTAAGGGAGAAGACAAGAAGATACAATGTTATGATCCATCAATGCCAACATATTTCAATTTTAGTATATATGTAGGTCTAGCTAAAACAGGAGCAAGACAGAGACCTGAAGGTGAAGAAAGATTAATATATGTTAATTCCACAAAAATATTAGAAAAAGGGACAGAAAAGGCTTTAATACGGTTTGATGCCTGTACAATATTAAGTTTATCTCCTCTCGCCACAAAGTGTGGGGACTCTAGTTGGATCTCTGCATATAAACAAAATCATAAATATATATATGTCCCACTAATTTGAACTTTGCAAATGGGAACCCCAATCAATGGTCACCTTGTGGGGGATCTGTTAAATGTTCAGGGTGGAGTTGTGTGTGTGATTACACTGCAGGGGGTTATGCAGGATGTAGTGGTATTACCAAATTTAACAGAATATACGGAACTAATACGATGGAGTTGGAAATCACTAAGAACCATGCTGAAGTAGTAAGTTATGGATTTGGGATAGATATTCCATGTAATGTTGAAACAATGAGAGGAAATGAGTGGACACCAGAAAAGATCGTGTGTGTCTATGGGCCTGCTACTTGGGCCGAAGATGGATCTTGGGGATATAGAACACCCATTTATATGTTAAACAGAATAATAAGATTACAGGCTGTGTTAGAATTAGTTGGAAGAAAAATAGATACTGCTTTAAATATTTTGGCAAAAACTACTGATAAGCTTAGAGTGGTTGTGTATCAAAATAGATTAGCATTAGCTTATATATTAGCTAAAGAAGAAGGGGTATGTGGGAAGTTTAATTTAACTAATTGTTGCTTACAAATAGATGAAACAGGTACAGTGGTACAGCAATTAACCACTGAAATGAGACAACTTGTACATGTTCCAGTCCAGACTTGGACTGGTCTTTTAGATGAAGGGGGATTTTTAGGGGGAATTTTTAGAAACTGGAAGCAAGCTTTATTCATGCTTATAATAATCATTATGGGATTAATGTTTTTACCTTGTCTCATCCCTCTCATTAAGAATATTGTTCAGAATACTGTAGAAGGAATAACACACAGTAATCAGAAGGAATCACTAGGGAGAAAAATGTATAACCTTACACAAATCAATGAAACTAATTTTTCAGAATATGAAAAGACATTAGAAATATAAAGAAATTTGGTAAAAATTTTAATGTTTTATTTTTAAAGAATGGGTAAAAAGAAAAAGGGTGGATTTGTGGGAGAATATTTAAAAATAAAAATATATATGCTTTTAGTATTATCATGTAATCATATTTTATATTTTATAATTATCATTGTATAATCAATTGCCTGAGTAGATGCTTTGAGTATACAGGGAACATACAAGCCTCAGGTGGAGGAAGGGGGAGAACAGGAGTTACCATGGGGCCCAGTGTGAATCACCATCTAGAAATTGTTTTAAAGTACCTTTTGGTGCCTGGTACCACTACTGGATCTAACAGGTGTAGAAGATGGGAGACATCTCTCCTCTAGAATTGATATAGGATAGCAGGGGAGGGATCTTATTAGTATAATGTATTCTGTTTAGGCGCTTCTGATAGATTGTAACCTCTAAAGCCTAAACCAATGGGGCCATGGGGGAGGGAATGGGGCGTTGCGATAGGATGTATAATAATATGTGATTTTGGAATTTGGGGTGTGGTTCAGTGCTTGGCTACATTGCATTGCCTTCCTGAATCCACCACGCTTCGCAAACCGTTATTTTTTTTAGACTTGGATGTGAAGTCTAATAAACTTCCTTTCTATTTGTAACTCAGAGTGGATTTCAATTTGTGACTATTTTTGTGTCTAACAATATTTCATTCTTTCCTGCACCATAAGATTGCCTTGTCACAGTGGCAACACTTACAGAACTATAGAAGCAATTCTTTATATTTATTCATTAGACATAATCAATTTGTTCAATTCAATGTAGTAATGCAAAAGTTTTTTATCTAAATTCCTTTATTCATATTAATGTTTATTCAATTATGATTTGTCTTCTAGTATTGCTACAAACATTGGTTTTCAAATGTTATTTTAACAAGCAGGAATTGGCCTAAGAAAATAAGAATGGTCTTACCTGCACATCTGTATTATCCAAGACATCAGTGTCATAGTCCAAAACCTCAACCTTATTGACAACATAATCTTTCACTTCCTGCAGTGATTCACTGATGAAATCTTCAGGGATATGCATGTTAGTTACATTTTTATGACGTTCTATTTGAGGTTTCTTTGCATGTAAAAGACCCCACCCAAAGTAATAGTAAGAATTTATTAAACAAAATTATTGATTTGATTAAAAAACATTTTGATTTAATGTATCTGTGGAAAATATTTGCACCAACATTCGCTACAAATACTTGCTCTCCTTAATATTACACAGATGAGTAATCTTAAGCCTAAAGGACAAGATAGGCCATTTTCTCTTTTTGATTCAACATCAGTCCCATTTGTATGAGAATCGGTTTAAGTTTCAGTTTCATAATTCAGTTTTACAGAGTATATGGATAGTGATGGATATAATTTCTTAATATGCTTTCTTAAAAAATGTTATTTGTACTTTTATTTAAAAAAAATCTCATTCATAATTGAGAAATCTACTACCGCCAAATATCTTATTCTGCTCATATTAGGGTTTGAAAAGCAGCCATCAAATGATACGCTAATAAAAGAGAGTTCATTTTAAAAATATCAATCGTAATTGTTTTAATCTCTGTCTCTGTTATATATTAATCAGAGTAAAATGGAATAGAAATGTCAATACTCCTAGGCAGAAATATTTCTATGACTGTCCTCATTCAGTGAGAAATAATCCATTAGCAGACTATTCATATAAAAGATGAGACAACAGAATTGTCAGATTTAGTGCTTTGGGGAAAAAAGAAAATCAATAGATCTTCATTCTATCACCTCAATCATTGATTGATGTACTGAAGGATTCTTTACACAGACTTCTTAAACAAATTAAAATGCAACATAGAACAGATCTATATTATGAACAGCCACTGATAATCCACCACTAATCTTAACATATTATTTTGTCTTTTATTTTCATTTTTTTATTATTGTTGTTTTTAATGCTTTGATTTGTAATGCTGGTCTGTGACTGTAATAAAATTGATTGATTATATTATGAATATTTGAGTCATCTTATGGTACGAGGATGGAAAGTTAAAAAAGAGATATGATCAGTTCAGTAACATAGCATAATGCAGTTCATATCCTCCCAGAACATTATTAACAATAAAGCTATTTATGCTGAAAACAGATAAAATATATAACAGTATATTTAAAAATGAAATGTCTCATTTCTTAAGAAAAATATTTAATTCCTATACTAAAGAATATTGAATATTCCTACCTGCTGCAAATCCACAGTATTGATAGCTACAGTAACAGACTGATTAGAAAAACTTGTGTGGGATAGAGATTTAACCAAATGGGTTCTCTTTTCTGTTTGGGATTTTATCTATAAAATATAGAAAGCCAAAATCCAGAGTTAGGCTAAGAAGTGCATTGTAGGCAAAACAGAGTATGTTTATTATATCAGACTGGGGAAATTCAGGATCTTAAGGTACATGATGGATCATACATAGTTCATATCAGTCATATCAATACACTAATGGAATAGCACTCGTCAGCAGATAGTATGGGAGGAAGGAGAACTATCTCTCCAAAAACTATTCTGGAAAATGAGATATTCTGACAATTTGGGGATAGGAAATTTTTGGGGAACCTATATGTACAATGGAAACTTTCACACACAAAGCTATTGGTGCAATAAACCTTTCTCATAAATTTCATGAAATTTACAACTAATTTAGTATTTATTAAAACCATTGCAATTTTAACTGCAACATGGATATAGGAAATTGAAGAAAGTAAATGAAAGAATGAAATAAATAAAACTGTATTGTTTCAAACATCAAAAAGAAAAAATCTTTATAGTGTTTAGTAGGTGGCATATAAATTAAAAGATAGGCAAAGATTTAATTAATAAAAACATTAATAAAAATGTGAGTTATTAAACAATACTTTGATATTAATTAACTTTTTCTCAAAAATGCAAATTTTTTACATTAACTAGTTTTTTCTTTAAAATGTTAACAAAATTAATTTTAAATACCTTATTCACGTTACTGAATTCTTTGTGCCTTTTATAAATGTAACTAATAATATCACAAACAATCTGTATTTTTCTTTCTGCAAAGCCATATTGAAGGAACTGTTGTTTTGACAAGATTGGTTTATACTGAAATTGATCACGAAGAAGCTGCAGAGAACAGATTTAAAAAAGGAATTTGTTTTCATAATACTTTTATGTCTGTTCAGCTACAGTAGGTATGGGAAAGTTCCTTTTCATAAAATTCCAGAGGCTTGCTTCTTTCCGTGACTCCTTCTCTGTGTACAAAGGAATTTTTCTAACCCTCACTTTCTCTGAAGAAAAAAATTTGAGCACTTTTCTTTGAGCATAAAGAATAAATAACCAAATAGCCTAGGCCACACTTTGGATAATAAAGCATCCTCTCTGTAGAGATGTTAGCTACAGGACAGCAGATAGTCATAATACAGACTATATAAGAAATTTAAAGTTAGCAGTCTTGTAATACTACGTCGTAATGCAGTAAAATTTAAATCAATGTTTAAATTTCAGGGTATAATGACAATTCTAGTTCTTCATTACTATTAATGGTAACATTGCCATGTTAGCATATTTAAGATATATACCTTATACGTGGCATCAACAAAACGTGAATCATTCTTTGCTGTAAGTTCCATCCCTGATTCCATTACAAGTTCTGCAATATATGTTGAGAATGATGTGAAACAGTAGCTAATGATTGGTAAAAACACAGATGGATCACCCTTTGCCAATCTGTAATAGTGAGGAAAAACTAGATAAGAAATTACTGATAATTCAAAACCTTGCATTACAGTAGTTTTATTTCTATACTTCTGAAACACTGTCAGGAAACCATGGCTACATTTAATTAAAACTATTTTATAATTACATTGTGTTTCCAGAATCATTAATCTGCATTTTTGGGACTAAGTGTATATTACTCTTTAATATGTAAAAACAACAAAATTGAAACAGGGTAGTTTTCTTAAGCTTTTCCTAAAATAGGACTGGATTTATTTCTTAACTTTAGACAAAACATTCACTGCCTAGATAATATAGTCTAAGTTTTATTAAAAGGATGGAAAAAGTAGTATTTATAAGAAGAGAGATGTTGCAACAACAAATCACTATGCACTTGATATGTGCTGTAGCCTATTTTAAATACCGTATACTGAATTTCATTGAACTTTTGAGTCATAAATAAAATAGTAGGAATCTGTTTAAACAATAATAATCACCAGTTTAAAAATCATCTAGCAGTTAATGTAATCTTAGCTAAATATTTATTGAAAAAAATGCTATGGCATGGAAACAAATTACCTATTTATTTTATTATGATTCATTTATAAGTAAATGGGATGATAAATCTGGTAGAACAATTTTTTTCACCTTACAAAAACACAGAGATCAAAGGAACTACCAAAGTCCAACCCTGCTTAGACTCCAACAACTTTAACATACAGCATTTATTTCTCAATAGTTGTTTATTTCTTATTTAATTTTCTAATTATAAGCCCCAGAGCAGACAGAAAAATTGCCTATTGGTAAAATTATTTCTGTTTAAAAAAATAGACTTTTCTTCTTCACTGGAATGGGATGACTCAGTGAGGCCAACTTGGCATGGCCAGCTCACTACCGTCACTTCTGCCAACTCATTATCGCCAAGTCATGGCAGGACAACTCAACAGGGCCAATTCGCTGCAGGGACAGGGAGAGCCAGGTGGCTGAACGAGCAGGTGGGCAGAGTGCAGAGCAGCAGCAGCTGGGGGCTTCCTATTTTCACACACACACACCAGTACTGCGCCAAACTCCAAGCCATTCAGAGTTTGGATTATTCAGGGACGGCAGGGAAGCGGCAGAGACCGGATGCATCCCATTTTCACACACCCCTGGGCCATTTGGCAGAAGTGGCGGTGTTTGGGCCATTTCGGGGTGGTGGCAGTGGGTGGGCAAGCAACTTTTCTTACACAAAGTTTCCATTAAATCAGATTCTCTGGAAACAAAGTAAAACAAAGAGTAATACAGATGATATAACAATTTATCATTTAACAATGAATGTATCCAAAAGTTCCTTTTCCTGTCCTAAGAATGATGCAGCAAACCATCTTCCCAGAAATCATTTATTTTTACATCAATGTCACATAATGTTACTTCTTTCATCCAGAAAATTCCAAAGAGGCAAATCTTAAACAAGTCATGTTTCCATTCTAGTTTGTTTTGATCAGAAGAGACTGCTTTGCTATATTCAGATAATACTGTACATTATTTAAAAACAACGAATAGAATGGTTTGCTAAGCAAAAAAATTCAATCGGCGATTTACCAACAAGCTATATTTATACCACAAATTGGCTATTAATATGCTTCCACTTACCCCATATAATCCACATCGCTAGGATAATTTATAACCCGAAGTTTTTGTTCTATCTTATGCAAGTTTCCTTTTAAGTCTCCTGTAGCCATGGTATAATTATTCTTTTAATTACAATACATGCCTAAAAAGCAGAATAATTTTGTATTACAAATTTTATTTACTCATTCATTCATCTAACAGGTTCAACTAACTCTAAGTACAAGACATTCATAAAATCAACACAAGTAAAATAACAATACAATCCAAAATTCTGCAAAGCAGTGTTCTATGACATTGGGACATTACAGAAAATAGTTCTAATTCCCATTTCTTTCAACTCACAACTTTACTTCACAAACTTTCGCATAAGAGACAATCAAATCAGATAGGATAGTTCTATCTAGAGAAGGTAGTTCTGAAGTCAAACCATGTTAGAGTTTAAAAATTAAAAGCATCACTTTGAATTGCACCCAGTGTCTCCAATACTGGAATTGTACAATTTTAGCTGTTCTCACTTCCAGCATGAAGACTATTTTAATACAGTACTAAATGGGCTTTGAGTTGTCTTCAAAGGCAGGCCCACATAAAGCAGAAATTCCAAGTAATTGACAAGGCAAGCCACTAATATGTAAACCAGTGGTTCTCAACCTTCCTAGTGCCGCGACCCTTTAATACAGTTCCTCATGTTGTGGTGACCCCCAACCATAAAATTATTTTCGTTGCTACTTCATAACTGTAATTTTGCTACTGTTATGAATAGTAATGTAAATATCTGATATGCAGGGTGTATTTTCATTGTTACGAATTGAACATAATTAAAGCATAGTGATTAATCACAAAAACAATATAGCAATGCTCACTGGAGAAGCTTACTCTTCCTTGCTCAAAAATGTTGGGAGGAAGGGAAGAGGAAGATTGAAGGGGGAAGGAAGGATATGGAGAAGGAAGGAGATTGAAGGAAGGAGAAAGAGATTGAAGTGGAAGGGATGGAGATGGAGATGGAAGGAAGGAAGATTGAAGGGGAAAGGAAGGAGATGGAAAAGGAAGGAGATTGAAGGGAAAAGGAAGACTGAAGGGGAAAGGAAGGAGATGGAGAAGGAAGGAGATTGAAGGGGAAGGAAGGAAGGAAGGAAGGAAGGAAGGAAGGAAGGAAGGAAGGAAGGAAGGAAGGAAGGAAGGAAATTGAAGGGGAAGGGATGCAGATGGAGATGGAAGGAAGGAAGATTGAAGGGGAAAGGAAGGAGGAGAAGGAAGGAGATTGAAGGAGGAAGGAAGGAAGGAGAGAGAGATTGAAGGGAAAGGGATGGAGATGGAAGGAAGATTGAAGGGGAAAGGAAGGAGATGGAGAAGGAAGGAGATTGAAGGGGAAGGGAGGGAGGGAGGGAGGGAGGGAGGGAGGGAGGAAGGAAGGAAGGAAGGAAGGAAGGAAGGAAGGAAGGAAGGAAGGAAGGAGAGATTGAAGGGGAAGGGATGGAGATGGAAGGAAGGAAGATTGAAGGGGAAAGGAAGGAAGGAAGCAAGCAAGCAAGCAAGCAAGCAAGCAAGGAGAGATTGAAGGGGAAGGGAAGGAGATGGAAGGAAGGAAGGAAGGAAGGAAGGAAGGAAGGAAGGAAGGAAGGAAGGAAGGAAGGAAGGAAGGAAGGATTGATCTTTGAAGAGTCATGTTTTTCCAGATGGTGATGAACTGCAACTCCCAGCATTCCCCACTCTTCCACAGTGCTTTTTAGGGCTCCTGGGGATGGTAGTCTAGTAAAGTTTGGAGATACACACAGATGCCCTCCGACGGCGAGGGAGGCGGGCCGGGTGGCGCGGGGGAGGCTCCGGTGCGGAGAGCGGCCGGAGGCAGAGCGCGGCCGGGCAACCAGGAGGCGTGGGAACCGGCTCGGCACCACAGCTCAGCTCAGCCAGCAGCAGCAGCGCATTGCTAGAGCAGGGCGGGAAGAGAGGGGGCCGTGGTGGCAAGTCATGAAAGCAGCGTCTACACATTCAGGGTGCAAACGCCTTGGACAGTTTGGCTCTCCCACCCCTTTATTTACTGATCTGCCACAACCTCGTGCAAATAAGCCCCGAGTAGTTCTGAACGAGCGGTCGTTAAAAAAAAAAAAGCTTTAAGCAACGAGGCAGAAAGGGGAACTCACTCACGGCTCTTTTTTTTTCCCTTTCTCGGCAACTGGGAAGGCAGCAGCCAGAGACACCGCTGTACAAGGGGAGGCGGAGAGAGTGGCGAGGGGGAAAACCTCACTCAACTTTCTCCCTTATCAGATCTGGTTCCCTTCTGGTCGACCCCATCCGCCCCCTTCACCTCCCACTACAGATCAACACTACCCCTTGGGAGTATTTTGCCAGGCTTTTTTTTTTTTACCTTGGCCCTGAGCTTCTCCCAGACAGAAGCCAGGCAAGAGGACCTGAAAGACGCCGAGCAGGAGGTTCATAGCCATGGCGATGCGGCAGTAGCTGCTCTGCGATGGGTAGCGCAGCCCCACCATGCTGCTGAGGTGGCTGCTTTCCTGTCTGCCCGAGCTGGCTGGCGGAGCTAGCCTTGAGCAGAAATTCTCACTAGTGTCTTGGTTCCTAAGACCATCGGAAATATGTGTTTTCCGATGGTCTTAGGCGACCCCTGTGAAAGCATCGTTCGACCCCCAAAAGGGTTGCGACCCACAGGTAGAGAACCGCTGATATAAACAGAGAGCAAATCCCACTCTCTTCTGACATTAATGATGTTATCTAGTTTGGTAAAGAAATGTCTGCAAGAAAACAACAAAGTTCAGAAAGCACTGAGCACCCCTCAGAATGAAAGTGCTCTAACTAGGGTTTCCACTTGTGCATCTTTCACACTCATGACTCCAAGAGTATTCCAAGTCACAGACCTGCTTCTTCAGGGAAAATGCCACCCCATCCAGAGTTAACAGAGAGATAGATGGTCCATTGTATTCCCCAGCCTGCCCATGGATAGAGATGTAAAATAGGGAAATCAGAAAACCAACTCCAAACCAGCATACTGTACATCTTCTCCCAACAGGCTTATGTAAACAGAGAAGAACAGACTGAATCCTATGGCAGTGGTGGCGAACCTATGACACGGGTGCCAGAGCTGCACTCAGAGCCCTCTCTGTGGGCAGACACACCATCGCCCCAGTCCTAGGCCTTCAGCTGGGTTTTATAAAACCTTTTCACTTTAGGCTTCCACTGCCATGTGCAAAAAAAAAAAAAAAAGGTTCAATCAATCAGTCAATTTCAACTTCTCGCAGGAAAAAAAATCTCACAAAGTTGGAATTGATTGAACTTTTTAGTCCCACCCAGTTTGCCATTACTACCACAGCCACGCCCACCCAATGGGCCACACCAATTGGCCACACCCAGCCAATGGACCACACCCACCCGGCACCCGACGATGCATAAGTGGGTTTTGGGTTGCAGTTTGGGCACTTGGTCTCTAAAAGTTTCGCTATCACTGTCCTATGGTATCCCACAAGACACAGCCAACCAGTCTGTCCTCTTATTCCTCACCACATCACACAGAATCACCCAGTTAGGAAAGAGCAGAAACAATGCAACATGTGGTTGATTCCAATTCTTACAGTATGGCATCATTGTCAATGGTACTACTGCTGCAAAGATCAAATGGGTAAAAGAAGCACTCCTTTCCCCCTCTCCAAATCCTCCAGCTACAGCAATGCTGTTTTCATCCCATGCTGGGTTGACTGTTTTCACTGCTTGTTTTAAAAAGGGGAAAACCTTGTATGCATTCGTTGGTAGGAAAAAAGATTAAAGTTGGACAGCCAAACTTGTTCCTAACAAATTTCATGAAAGAGATCCCACACTGGGCAGGAAGAGGAAAGAGAGAGCAGAAGTTAAGAAGACTGTACCCGCTTGTTTCCATTTACTTGACTAGGGAAAGCAACCTACCGTCAATCACTTTTCATTCTCCCAACACTTAAATTTGCGGGGCCCTTGGTGCTCCCTGAACTTGTTTTCTTGAAGACATTTCATTACGCTAACTAGGTAACATTATCAGAGCTAGTTGAAGGAAACCCCACTCCCTACAAGCACTGACGATGTCACCTAGTTTGGGTAATAAAACGTCTGCAAGAAAACAATCAGACTTAGGGGGCATAATTTCAACCCTTTATCGGTACTTACATTTGCGCCTAGGATGCGTCTCCTGGACAGTCAGATAAACTGGCGAACTTCTCAAGGACCGGCCAAGGAGGGCGTTTGAAGGCGCTCAGGGGTGGCTTCTACTGCTTCGATCAGAAGGCTAGACCCGCCTTTTCCTGGCGCGCCTGGCTGCGGTTTCACCTCCACACTGAGCGGCAGTTTAAGCGCTCCCGCGGGCAGCCAAAGCTAGTTTTTGTTTCAGGTCCACAGACTCCTGACTCTTTTATTCCAGCCCCTGTTTAGAAACGCACGCCCTAGCAGAGGCTTCTCTGGGGCGGGAATCTCAAAAGGGGAAAACAATATCGCCTCAGTGATTGCTTCGGTTCCCCTGATCGAAAGTGTCGAGGCGGATCTACAGAGAACTTCCCCGCGCTGCAAGATCCGATGCGTCACTTCCGGTAAAAACAGATGCGGCGGCCGTTGCTCTAGTAGCCGCCAGCAGATCGAAAGTGAGTGTGCGGGAGCGGGCGCGGATGAGGTGACGACTCACGTTTGTGCGCATGGAACCGGAAGCCCTCTGGGAAGCTGGCTTGCTCCAACGGCTGCCAGAAACTGCGTGACTCCGCGCTCCCTCGTTTCGAAGGCTCGCACCCGACTGGACGCCGAGTCGTCGCGGCGGCGGTTGGAACCTCAGCTCGTACAGGTAATGTGGGTCAATATCCAGGCGAGAAGTGGCCTTGAGGGCTTTTTATAACCGTCGATCTCGGCTATATCATATTTGAGACCAATCCTGAACTAAAGGTGGCACTGTCTGTTCCTTTTTCTTCCACTCCTGTAGGAAACTAAAGAGCAGTTGGAAACAGGTGTAAGATGCTGTTTGTATCTCAACACTAGTACGAGTGTGTCAGTAATCCTGACGGGACATTTCCTAATTGTGAGATGTTGTTGGCTTTTAAAATAGTTTCCACATTACAGATTTCACCTACGATGTATCTCATTCATCGATGTGGACCATGGCAATTTCAGCTTGGAATGTAAGAGGCATAAAGGATAGAAAATAAAATGGGTGAAGTGAAAGAAAAATATATTGCATCTTTGAAACGGTGATTAAAAAGAAAAATTTAAGAATCGGTATATGAATATGTTCAAAGCAAGACTGTCTTGCAAGGATAAAAAGGATGGCAATAGAAACAACGAAGTTTGGATAAGCAATATTTAGTTATGTTTCCTTTTATTTCATGCTGTTAATTTGCTTTGCTTTTTATTTCAGTTATATGCCATGTTATCAATTATTCCAGACATTTTATTGTAAAAAAATTGTTTCTGAAGGCCATTTTTTAAAAAGCAAATACTTCAAAAGTATTTGAAGGGGCACTCTAGCAGATGTTTTTGAAAGAATTCTAAGAGTGCAGACAAATTGGATTTATTACAAATTGGATTTCTAGGTTTTTAATACTGTGTATCAAGATTACTTTGAGATTCATGTGCTTCTGTAATTATGCATTTTTGTGATTCCCATAAATTCATCAACACATTTAAGACCACATAGGCAATGTTTTTCTGGTGTTACTGATAATTCATAAAATCTGAACAGTTATTCATTCTTGGATAATTAAATACTGCAGTCTAAAATATGTACAGTATAAAATATATTTTAAGTAACAATTCTGAATGAAAGAAATACTATGTGAGAAAACTGATGAAAAATTCCTAACAGTATTGTTTTCCCATTATAGTACTTAGCTGGCATTGTACACACACAAAATATTTCTCTTAGGATTTTGTGTACTACCTTTGTTCTCTGAAATGGTACATTTAGATATAAGAGACCTATGAACTTAAATAGTTAGAAAAATGGATTGGACTAGATCATGTAGATCAGTTGATGACTTTAGGCCAACTATTCTGTCTTCAAAGCCTACAAGACAGGTTTGTTTTTAGAAAGAAGTATTGTCAATCTGGCGATTTGGCTGCAAATGTTTAGTCTCCGTTCTGGGAGAGATCTTTAGTGTGCTTTGAATTGTGCTCATCAGTCAGAGCACTGGCCTTTAAATACCTTTTGAGTAATGTAAATTGGTGTGGGTATTATTTGTTCGGATTTGTCATGGTCTGGTTTCTGGCTGATTGATTGGTTGTTATTGTTGCAGGGCTGTAGTCTTTGGTGTTTAAGTATCATCTGTGTGATACAAATGATGTTTGTTCATTTGGTTGCCTCTGAGTCATGGTCTGGTTTCAGGTTGTTTGGCTGTCTGGCTGTTGTTGAGATGTGGTCCGGTTTCTTGTGGGGGGTTGTGATTTTTGTTGCCTGTTCATTTTCAGTGCTGCCTTCGGGATTGTGGTTGAAGTAGTTCTTTCGTTCTCAGCGGTTGGTAGACTGGGTCAATGTATCTGTTTATCGACTTGGTGGAGAACTAGGCTTCAAGGACTTCTCTTTCTCCCTTTGATTTTGCTTGGATTACTACTGTAGTCCTAGTTAGATCAAACTTGAGTCCTTCTGAGTCTTTGTGGATGGACATGAGGTCGTGTCTTTTGATAGCCAAGAAGTGTTTGTGCAGTCTGGTAGATAGCTTTCTTCCCGTTTGGCTCACATAGTTCTTTTCACAGTTGCTGCACTGGATTCAGAATATGATGCCTGATCTTTGGTTTGTTTCTGTCTGCTCCTTAGGTTTTGATAGGGTCTGTCTGAGAGTTGAGGCTAGTTTGTGGGCTACTGCGAGGTCATGTTGGCATAGTAGTCTTGCTATCATCTCTGAAACAATTTGTACATAGGGAATTGTGATTTGTTAGGTTGTTGTTGTTTCTGTTGTAGTTGTTTTGTTGCTTTGGGTGTTTGTGTTGTTGGTGTGTTGTGATCTCCGGATGAAGTTTCGTGGGTATCTGTTTCTGTCAAATACTTTGTATAAGTGTTTTCGTTCTTCTGATCTGGCTTCCATGGTATTGCAATGGGATTCCAATCCCCCGAACAGTGTTCTGACCCAGCTTTGTTTGTGACCTTTGGGGTGGCTGCTGTGGAAGTTGAGGATTTGATCTGTATGAGTTGCCTTCCTGTACATGGATATTAGAAGTTGGCCATTGGTGGTTCTGGTTACAAGGATGTCCAGGAATAGCAGTTCATTGTTACTCTTGGTTTCTATTGTAAACCAGATGTTTGCAAAGACGTTGTTGATTCTTTAGTACAGTGTTTTTCAACCTTGACAATTTTAAAGCATGTGGACTTCAGCTCCCAGAATTCCACAGCCAGCAATGTTGGCTGTGGAATTCTGGGAGTTGAAGTCCACATGCCTTAAAACTGTCAAGGTTGAGAAACACTGCTTTAGTAGGTTTGGTCAACCTGGTTACGCTTGATTATCATAAAGGTATTGTCCACATAACATACCCATAGCTTGGGGTTTATTTGTGGAAGTACAACTTCAATTTTCTGCATGATGACTTCTGCAACCAGGCCAGATGTAGGAGCTCCCATAAGCAATCCCTTCAGTTGTTCATAGATCTCTCTGTCAAATTTGAAGTAGGTGGTTAAACATAGGCTGGAGGAATTCACATGTGTTTTCTGTTGTGAGTGGTCCTCTTGGTAGTTGTGTGCTGTCCAGTAATTCTTGATGATATCAATTGCTAATTTTAGATCTACTGATATGAATAATGTGTTAACTTTGAATGATATTGTTTCGTCTTCATCAATATGTAAGTGTTTGAGCTTTGTCCAGGAATTGCGTTGTTTATAGAATATCAGGCAATTCCATCAACAGACACATTGATCTACAACCAGCCTACGAACCCCTCAAAATCCAAATCAACTGCACAGCCAACCAGAGAGAGCACCAACTCTCAACCAACCCATTCAGGTCCCTCCCAGCACACCTCCGTATGACCCTCACCTGATGTAACCTCCCCACCACAAGACACACCCACACCTGACCCATCACAAGACCTATTGACCACACAAAGCCCTTATAAACAGAAGAACACTGACATCCCCTAAACTCCGCTAAAGATGTTACCTAACGTTGTAAGGAAACATTTGGAAACCAACCTGCAAGCTCACCCTCATTTTGGAATGTTTCAAGCTTCAAAATATTTCCAAAAGGATTAAATGCAGCATTTTAAATGCAGCATAACATCGCATCCTGTAAAAGGGCTATTTTCCATTCAAAATGTTTCCCATGACAGTAGTGAAAACCTACTTCATAGTTCACTTAGTACTTGAGATACATGCAAAACAGGAAATTTGTTTGTCATAGTTTCATTAAAATATAGGTCCACTCTTTCCTGAACAAAGTTTACTTCAGAACTGTACATGAGAATATTAGATGTTATAGAATTCACAAGTTGTGAAACATGAAAAATATTAAAAGAACAAAGGCTTATTTTCTTTCCCATGAATGCATTATATTTTTAGTTGTTGAAGTTATTCTGTTTCTTAATTATTTTGATAATGAATGAATCACTGATCTAATTTCATTTTTTGGTACTAGAAGTGCTTGTAAGTAAAGAATATTTTATAAATTATCCTGGATGCTGACATCTCTATTGCGTTTACTTATTCGATTTTCCTTTTATCTCAATTGAATTGATTACTATCTGTGCAATGGTTACTTTAGCATACCAATTCAAGGTTTCTGAATTCAGAGATTGTTTGAAAGATGTTCCTTGTTTTCCCATGCCTGTTTTTATCTTCAATTTCTTTACAGATGCTTTTGTAATACTGTTTCTTGCCTCTTCTAATAGCCTCTAAAACAGTGATGGCGAATCTTTTAGACACTGAGTGCCCAAAAACTGCCCTGCTCTGCGCCCCACCCGCTCTACTCCTGTTCCCGCCCGCCCGCAGGGCCACCTACCGCCTCCACGGCCCACCGCAGCAGATTGCCCAGGTGGTCCTGTAGCACCATGGTGGCCACGCCCTCCGACCATGCCCCGCAACATTATCTGCGCATGACAGAGTCTTGTCCCTGCTATCTGGCTGCCGTGTCCTTGGCTGGGCTGCTGTGCGCAGCTGCACCCGGGGGCAATTCTCCGGGGGGGCTGCTGGTGAGGAGGGGGCTACGGGGGGAGGTGGGGCAACATGTGCCATAGTTTCGCCACCACTGCTCTAAAACAATTTGCTAAGTTCCTTTCTGAGAGTTTTGCCTTTCTTTGCCTTGGCTTGTTTCCTTTTTGCTGTTTCTTCACATTTATCTTCTTTAAGTCCATTCCATAATTCCTTGTTTCTTCTGTCAATAAAGTTTAGGATTTCTGAGTGATTTCTGATGTTTTCTTTGAAACCAGTCACTATATAGTATGTTCAAGATGATATGGAAACTGACTGGCTTTCTTTTTCTTCTTGAGCTTAACTTGAAGATTGTTCATAAGCAGTTTGTCAGTGCTGCAAATATTGTATATTCTTGCTTTTGACAATATGCAGAATTGTCTG